AAACTGATGTTTGGTTCTCTTGTCATATAAATTTACTTTAATTTGATGCAGTTCTTATGGCTGAAATCTTTCAATGAGATCACTAATATTTACAGTTCTCGTGCACTCCACATTTTTCTGAATTCATTCTCTAGTTCTTTTTTTTTTAGAAAACTGGTTGTAACGAACCTGAGGTACTGCTGAATTTCAAAAAATTCACATCAATTGAGGCTTGTTTAGATTTTATCAATAATGTGAGTCATTTTTATTATTTTCTTTTCTCCTTAGTTATTGTATAATCCTTTAAATACCATATCTCATTGAGAATGCCAGATTGGTGAAAGTAAAGATAGTGGCTCCAATTTTTCGCACTTATGTAGTGCCATTGCTTAAAAACTTCTGTCTCAAAAACCGTTTTCTTGTTTGTCGCACATTCAGAACTGATTGTAGCAGCCAAACTACGTGATTGCACGACTGATACGCCGACAAAGAGTACTTTTTTAGAATTGGCATGATCGCGTATCTGACGACGTCATACACTGCACTGGAGGTGGCTCTTTCAAATATGCGGAAATGATGCACAACTTGTTAGGAGTGCGGTGGGTATGATATAATCATTCTCTACTTCCATATATTTCAAACACGGATAAATTAATTGCTTGGAGTAGTAAAAATGTCAATTTCTCTCATTGAGCGCTGTTCAGAGTTCAACGCACTGACGAAATGACTTCATTGATCTACGGATGCGATTTCCTTTTGAAGAACAATGAAGACGAGTCGTTTACTTATCATCACGAAGCGATTGGAATAGAACGGTAAGGATTTGCTATATCGCCTAGGACTCTTTTACTGGAGACTCTCATTCTTGAGCTATGAAGACTGTGACAAACGATCAAAAGTACTTTATAGATGAGACCGTTCTATACTAATGTCAACTGTGACGTCACTTTTGACATCATAGTTTTATTAGATCTTTTCTAACTTTCTAAGACTTATAGTCCATAGTTTAGCTACATACACTTGTTGTGGATTTACGGTAGCTACAGATCTAATTGACTTAAATATAAAATCACGTTCCATATATGATGAGTGTACTTGCAATGAATCTCATTCTTCATTTTTACAGACAGTTGTTTTTGATAAATTTGAGAATGTAAATGTTTTCGAGTAGTCTGAAAGCTTCCATTTTAGGTACCAGTACAAACCAATCGCAGCAGATTCCGTATATCCATTCCTTCTCGTGAATATAGGTACAGGAATCTCAGTACTCAAGGTAGGACATTTTCCTTATCTGCATTGTGATTCGACATTCCCACAAGGGGCTTTTGCGTTGGACCAGTTACGATTTGTCGATTCTAGCTAATTATAGGTTGATTCACCTTCACAATTCCAACGGGTTGGTGGTAGTTCTATGGGAGGTGGTGCATTTATTGGGCTGGGACACCTTCTGACTTCAGCACAGAGTAAGATTAATAATTTTGAGGAACAAATTCGAAAAGAATTCTCACCTTTAAGGTTTCGATGAATTGTTATTGATGGCAGAGAAGGG